AAAAAAAAAAAAAAAAAAAAAAAAAAAGAAAAAAAAAAAAGAAAGAAAAGGTGGAAGCCAGTGACTTCTAAGGTCTTGTCCTGATTTGGGAACTATTTTCCAGTTAGTACAAAGTAGGAGAGTAAAGGAAAAATGGGAAATTCTGAGCAAACACTTTGATGCATAGTTAATAGAGTGTACAGTTTCAATAATGGCTTATGCATGAATTTAGAAATCTCTCTGATTTAGTGAGTTGAAAGTAACATTTTATGTGTATGAATATTTGCCTGAATGTATGTTAAATATACCATGTGCCTGAGTCAGATCCCCAGGAACTGGAGTTGCAGACAGTTTTGAGCCACCCTGTGAGTCCTGGGAATCAAACCCAGGTCCTCTGTAAGAACACAATGTGCTGGGTGGTAGTGGCACACACCTTTAGTCCCAGCACACAGGCGGATCTCTGAGTTCAAGCCAGACTGGTCTACAAAGCGGGTTCCAGGACAGGCTCCAAAGCTACTAAGAAAGCCTGTCTCAGGAAAACCGAAATAAAACAAAACAGCCAATGCTCTTTTTTTTTTTGGTTTTTGTTTTTTTGGTTTTTTTGTTGTTGTTTTTTGTTGTTTTTTGTTTTTTTTTTTTGGTTTTTTTGAGACAGGGTTTCTCTGTGGCTTTGGAGGCTGTCCTGGAACTAGCTCTTGTAGACCAGGCTGGGCTCGAACACAGAGATCCACCTGCCTCTGCCTCCCGAGTGCTAGGATTAAAGGCGTGCGCCACCAACGCCCGGCCCAGCCAATACTCTTAACCACTAAGCCATCTATCTCTCCAGCTTCAAAAGTAGCAAATATCTGTATCTATGCTTTAAGTGCATATGGATGTTTTACCTGCATTTATGTCTGCATCAAGGGCACGCATGACCCCTGAAAAGGGAGTGTGATCTCCTGGGAATAGAATGGCAGCTGTGCACTGCTCTGTGGGTGCTGGGAATTGGGCCCCGAACCTGGAAGAGCAGCCACTATTCTGAACTGCTGAGCCATCTCTCCAGGCCCCCAAAAGTAGCTTTCCTTTTTCTCACATACTGTTTGTGTGTGTCCACGAATTTGTGTGTGCCTGAGCATGATGAGAGGCTCATGTGTTTGTCAGGACAACTTTGTGGAGTCAGTTGTCTCTTTCTGGGATTGAACTCACGCTGTCAGGCTTGCAGAGCAAGCCCCTTTATCCACTGCCATCTTGTGGGCCTAAAAATATCCTTTTAAAAAACTGAATTGGCTCTTGTCTTTCAGGAATTGTTTGTGCGTTGTGGTCCAGTCCCATGTGCTCAGTCTGAGTTGCACTCTAGCATTTCTCACAGGGTGGAGGGCTGGGTGCTTCCTCATGGTGGTCTGCCTCGTGGTAGCATCACAAGATGAGCCTGTTGGTGTTTCCTTTGTGAGCGTTTGATTCCTTGATGGTTATATTCAGAGAAAATGCATATATTGTTTTGTAGTCAAAGCTCTCTACTGGATTTGTACAGGTTTGTTGAAGTGTATATATGACAGTAGGATGAACTTAGCAGCCATAACCTGAAATCTAAAAGCATAAAACTTTGATCACAGACATGACATCCTAAGTAGAGGGCTAAACTGATGTTTCATTCAGTAAAGTGTTTATCTCCTAAGCGTGAGGGCCTGGCATAAGAACCCAGGCATGGCAGTACAGGCCTGTGACCCCGCGTTTGGGATGTGGAGACCGTAGGAGACCGTAGGTGGCTTGCTGGCCCACCAAGCTAGCCAAATTGTTGAGCTCCAGGTTCAGTGAGAACCTCTGCTTAAAAAAAAAAAAAAAAAAAAAATAGGTGAACGCAACAGAGGAATACACCCAACATCAACCTCCGGCCTCCACACATGTACACACACACATACATGTGTAAGTACAAAAATAAAGAAAAATTAAAACCAATTGGGAAGTTTTTCTCCTCATTCTATGTAGTAGGTTGCAGGTATGGGTGGGCAGGTTGATATTCTGATTAACAAAGCTAATATTTGCAAAATGTACGTGAACAAGTGAATTTTGTGTTATGTTCCATCCCCACAATAGCTGTGCAGATAGTGTGTAGATGCCCAAATTGAAGAAGTTCTAAAGGAATGTTCGTCTCAAGCATTTCAGATAAGGTATATTCAGCCCATACAGGAAATGTGTCTGAGTAGTAGGCATAGCAGGGTAAGAACTGTAAGAAATGCCTAGGGTGGGTCTGAGTGTGTAGCTTAGCAGTACAGTGCTAGCCTACTGTGTGTAAAGCCGTGGATTCTGTCTGCAGCATTTCCACAGCAGGGGAGCTAACAGACAGTTAGGTGGAAAGCAAGGAAGACTTGCCAGAAGTGGCACCCAAAAGATTCGTTCCCATTCAGTCCAGCCCTTGGTGGTTTCTGCAGGTAAGCAGTGAGACTGAGCAAAGACAGGGACGTTCTCTGGCCGCAAGCACTGCAGCTGTGGCCAGAATGCAGAGGAGTCGAGAGAGACCGAGCTGGAAAACACACACTGGGCCAGATGGATGGGGCTAGGCATGCCAGGCTGAGTACGGTGGCCGCTTACCCGGGCTTCAGGAAGACAGGATAGTCCTATTAGAAAGTGCTGTGTGCCTGACATGGGGCAGCAGCAATGGGTCAGAAGTGTGGCTTTAAATGCCTCTGTCCTTACCTGAGGAATCCTGTCACGCAGAACTTGAGGAGCCATCTACATGTGGCACCGTAGACATTTCTGCCTCAATTATACAAGCTCCATGTGCATAGCTTTTCATGAGGACAACTACGCCCAAAGCTAGGGACCACATACTAACTTTATCCCTGTCTCCTGTGTTCTCACCAAGATGCTGACACCAAACTCTGTGTTTTGTTTTATTGTTGTTACTGAGACAGAGTCACTAAATAGTCCTGGCTAACCTGGAATCCTCTTGTACAGGCTGGCTTTGAACGTGGAGATCTAGCTGCCTCTGCCTCCTGAGGGCTGAGATTAAAGGTGTGCACCACCAAGCCTGACCTCAAATGTTTTATTTTAGCTGGGTAGTAATAGTGTCAGCCTTTGATCCCAGGACTGAGGAGGCAGTGGCAGGAGGATCTCTGTGAGTTCGAGGCCAGCCTGGTCTATCTGCCTGTGCCAAGTGGTGGGGTTAAAGACGATGCCACTGTACCCTGTCAAAC